TTATCAAAATTGATACCAGATGAAGCGGAAAATCTGAATGGCACTATTTATTAAAGATATTGAACGTGCTATCAAAAACCTTGCCAAAGATAAAACATCAAGCCAGATGGTTTTACTGATTAATTCTGTTAAACATTTAAAGAAGTAATGCCAATCTTAAACAAATTCTTCCAGAAAATGGAGGAGAGAATAGTTGCTAACCTGTTTCATGAGGCCAGCATAACCCTAAACCTGATAAAGACATTATAAAAAAATAAAATCACAGACCAGTATCCCTCATTAACATAAAAATAAAAGACATAAAAGACATAAAAATACTTAATGTGATTTTAGCAAATCAAATCAGTAATGTGTAGATACGTACTCCATCATGACCACACCAAGTTTATCCCAGAAATGCAAGGCTGATATAACGTTGAAAAGTCAGTCAATGTAATTCTTCACATTCAACAGAATAAAGGAGAAAAACCACATGACTAGCAGATTCCGAAAAATTATTCAACATTCAATACCCTTTCAAAATTTAATAAAATAACCTTTCAGCAAATTAAATATGGAAGAGAATCTCCTCAATCTGTTAAAGGTCATCTATGAAAAACCTATAGTGAACACTGTACTTAATGATGTAACTTAGACCACTTTTTCCGTAAGTTCTGGAACAAAGTAAGGATGTCCAGTCTTGCCACTTCTGTTTATTATTGAAGAAGTTTTCCTAGCCATTGCATTTCTTACCTAATGATAAGAAAAAGAAATAAAAGAAATACAGTTTAGAAAGGAAGAAGCAAAACTCTCTTAATTATAGTTGGCATGATTGTTTATGTATATAAAGTCCTAAGACACCTACAAAACAACTACCAGAACTAAAAGATGAATATAGCAAGGTTGCAGGATATAAGGTCAATATATAAAAGTCAATTGTATTTTTATATAAGCCGCAAACAATTGGAAAATAAAAATTTTTTAAATTACATTTATGGTAAAGTTAAAAAAAAAAGGCTTAGTATACTTAGGAACAAATATGCAAAAAGATACACAAAATCTATACATTTATGACTCAAAATATTGCTGTGAGAAATTAAGGAAAACCTAAATCATGCATTATGCCATAATCATGAATTGACAGACTCACTATTGTGAAGATGTCAGATCTCACTAAATTGAAATATGTTTATTTGAATCTAAACCATAATCCTAGTAGGTATTTCTTGGTAAAAACTATCTTATTTTTAATGTATGACGAAGACTTAGAATACAAAAGGACTTAGAATAAATCAGTCTTGAAAAAGCACAACCAAGTTGGAGGAGATAAACTATCTAACTTCAAGACTTAGTGTACAGCTATGATCAGTATGTTACTAGCATTAGCATAAAGGTTGACAGACAGATCAATGGAACACAATAGCCCAGTACTGGACCCACACATGTATGGTCATTTGATTTTCAACAAATCACCAAAGTAAACAAATTAGGAAATAAGGCTTTTTTGTAAATGATGCTGGAACAACCGCATTTCCACATGGAAAAACAATGACATTGACCCCTTATATCACATAAAAATTAGTTCAAGATGGAGTGTAGTTAGAGCTATACTAAAAAGCTAAAACTAAAGCTTCTTGAATAGCACTGTTCAATAGAACTTTCTGCAATGTTAGAAATGGCCTGTATTTGCATCGTCCAATAAGGTAGCTACTATCCACATGTAGTTACTGAGTATTTGAAATGTGGCCATTGCAACTTAGGAAATACATTTTAAATTTTATTCAATTTTAATTTCTATTTAAATACTCATGTGGCTAATGGCTGCTACACTGGACAGTACAATTCTAGAAGAAAGTATAGGAGAATGTCTTCGGAAGCTGAGGGGTAGGCAACTGTGCCTTAGGACATGGAAAGCAATAACTGTAAAAGAAAGATCGGGTGAATTAGACTCATCAAAATTTAAAACTTTTACTATCAAAAGACAGCACTAAGAAAATAAATAGGCAAGCCACAGACTGGGGAAAGTATTTGCAAAACAAATATACTGATTACATATAGCATATGGGTATTAGGATTATAAAAAGACCTTCAATTCAATTAAACTGTAGGTAAAACATTTGCACAGATGCTTTGCAAAGGAAGATATACGAGTCCCCAATAAGCACAGAAAAAGTGCTCAACATAATTTGTCATGGAAATGAGAATTAAAGCCACATATACCTCAGAAAGGCCAAAATGCTAAAATTAAACTACTGACAATATTAAATGTTGTCAAAGATTTGGACCAATAGGAACTCTCATATATTGGTGGTGGGAGTGTAACATGATACCATTTGGGGAAAAATTTCTGCCAAAATTTATAAAATAAACCATTAGTTCTATTCCTAGACATTTACCCAAGAAAACTAAAACCTGCATTTACAAAATGATATATAGCATGATCTAGTAGATTTATTCATAATGACCAAAAACTGGAAACAGCCAGTGTTCATCCATAAGCGAATGGACACATATGCTCTGGCATGTTTGTATTATGGAATACTATTAATAAAAAGGAACAAACTACTGATATAAATAGCCACATGGATAAGTCTCAAAAATATTATGCTGAATGAGAGAAACCTTACGTAAAAGGGGACGGGCTGTAAGAATGATATGTGAAGTTCAAGGACAGACAAAACTAATGTGGGATGGAAAATTATCAGGAATGTAGTTGCCTCTCAACACGGAATGCGATTGAGTGGGAAGGAGCGTAAGGACCTTGCAGGGGTTGTGACAGTGTTGGTTAGGGTTTGCGGGTATGTAGCTTTGCACATTTGTCAAAACTTATAGAATAGTTCCCTTAGGATTTGCATATTTTATTTTATATAATCTTTACCTGAAACTAAATAATTTGAACTCTAGCTAATGATATGTTTCAGGGTTTAGTGTACCAAAGTCTACAACTTAACTTAGAAATGCTTCAGTATAATAAAATGAGTTGATGTGTGGCCAGTGGGATGATTCATATGTGAAAAACAAGGGCAGTAAATGTTCATCGCAGGCTCTAGGTAGTGAGTATATAAGTACTCCCAATACAAATTCTTAATTCTTTCAATTTTTAAAAATTCAGAATACTTAATTCTTTCAATTTTTCTGTTTGAACATTTTCCTAGTAAAGGTTAGAAAAATATTTAATATGATTTTTCACTATAAAAGTGACATGCTCAGCAAAAATATTTGGAAAATATAGAAAATAAAAGGAAGAAATAACATTTTCCATAGCTCAGCCATCCAGAAATAATTATTAGCTGATGTTTCTGCTTTTAGTTCTTTTTCTATGCTTTATTTTTGCTTTGTTTAATGATTAGGTCCATATTTTATTTGCTGTCTTATATCTTATACTTGTATCCTCTAAAAATATCCTATCTTTTCTCAGTAAGCATTATAACATCATTTCCACTGCAAGGTAATATTGTGCTAAGCTAATATACTATAACTTACCTAAGCGGCCACTTATATTGCATGTTCAGATCGTTTTTCATATTTTACTGTTATACTACTATAACATAATAGATAACAAAAAGTTTGTTCTGCGTTTTAGACCCTCATAAGTGGAAGTACCATGTTAAAATGTGTGAAAAGTCCCAAAGCCCCTCATATACGTTGTCAAATTGTTGACAATTCCATCCCTTTTTTTTTTTCAGAATAGTCCCCAAGACACTTTCACAGAATCCCCCCAGAACTCAAAACCTAATTAAAGCACCGCTAATCTAGACTATTTTAGTTATTTACTGGCTATATATCAAACTAAATTTTTTAATTATTTTTTTTTTCTTGCCATTCTGACGTTCAGAGAAATTTGGTAGCCTGTCAATGGTCCTAGCTAATAACGGACGGAGTTACCACTGGACACTTCATACATCGAGGCAGTATTCACAAAGCAGGAGCTTAATGTTTATTAAGTGAACACATAAAAATATGAAGGTACCAAAGCTTAGATCAACTTAGATTTATATTTCCTATATATTTCCTGTTAGAACTATGAAATGCCGAGGTTAGTTTCCTTCTGATACTATCTTGGATGTTTGCATATTGGTTTATTTGTTCTGTCCTTACCTACCGCTTCAGTTACATGTGAAGCCCATGCATTACAAGATGCTAACTGATCTATCGATGGAAATGTGATCCAGGTCACAGTGACATGAATATTCTGCCTACTCTTTGCCTTCTAGGCCTCTAGCATGAATTGCAAAAGGATTTACTTATGTATGCGTGATTCTCTTCTCTGAGTGAGGAGTCATCTCTAGGTTTCCATAGGCAGTGGGGATATGTACAGTCTTCCCCACTTATGCATGGGCACCCCCAGGGGATTCCTGAAACCACAGATAGTACCAAATCCTCTATATGCTGTTTTTTTCCTATACATACATACCTATGAGAAAGCTTCATTTATAAATTAGGCACAGTTAGAGATTAATAAAAATAAAACAGAATGATTATAATAATGTACTGTGATAAAAGTTATGTGAATGTAGTCTCTCTCTCATAACTGCTGTGATAACGAAGATGACTGCTAAGTTCTGGGAAGCAGCACATGCAGCGTGGATACGCCGCACAAAGGGACGATTCGCAGTGTCCCAGAGGGGACAGAGTAGGAGGCGTGAGATTTCACGCTACTCAGAACAGCACGCATTTTAAAACTTGTGAATTGTTTAATTCTGAAATTTTTTACTTAATATTTTTGGACCATGGTTGAGTGCAGAAAGTGAAACCACAGACGAAGCCCGGCCGTGTGCCGCCCAGCGTCTGGGCGTGTGTGTGCTGCAGCAGGCCTGGGGCGAGCGAGCTGGCGCTGCCACCAGCACAGTGTCCTTGGGAGCAGTGTGAGTGGCACCCTCGGGAAGGTGGGACCCCGGGGTCCTAGGGCTGCTGGCTTGTGAGGAAAAGGCCTCCTCTGAAGGGGATACCAGGAGGAAGAGTTGCGGACAAGGAAAAAAATGAGACTAATTATTTCTTGTTTATTACCATTCCCTGCTCAGAGAACGAATCAAGTATTGCTGTGAGCAGCTGCGGACTCTATTGCCATGTATAAAGGGGAGAAAGAATGATGCAGCTTCCATTCTTGAGGCAACAGTGGATTATATGAAGTATATCCGGGAGCAAATCCCTCCAGCCGTCATGGGCCAGGTATTCGGCTCCCAAGCCTTGAATTTTATCCTCATACACAGTGCCTTAATGCTACATTTTCTTTCTTTCTTTCTGTTTTTTTTTTTTTTTTTAATCATTGGAAATGTATGTGTATATGTATATATGAAAAAATCTAAGTAGATCTTTGTCTGTATTTTAGATTACAGAAGCACTGCAGAGCAATAGGAGGTTTTGTAAGAAACAACAGACGCTCATCCAGCTCCCCCTCCCAGGCACTATCATGGCGCAGAGGTATGATAAGGGCGCCTGTTATTTTCTCCAGTGCTGGTGCTGGAAGTGTAGACAGGCCAGAACCCACTGGCAACGAACACCCAGGAGTCAGTGAGCTACTCCCATTGCTGATGTGTATCATTTAATGACAGTGACGACATATGTACTGTTCTCAGACCCATGATCCTGTCGTCATCTGCCTTGTTCTCCTTTTGTTATTTCTGAGCATCTTAAAATGGGGCATTACCAGGAGTGATGGTTGTGACTGGCAGCCCAGTAGGGGCGTGATGGATGCAGGCACTCCCAGGCGTTGGAGCAGCCCAGCCCTGTTTCAGCAGGGGGTCCTAAAAGAAAGTGCAAACAGGGCAGGCCAAAGGAACACTTCCTATTTGAATTTATTAGAATATGTAAACAAAGGAAAACGATCAAGGAAAAGCAGATCATTCCTGAAGAATCACTCTGAATCCTTTTCAACAATTTTTTCTTGTATTTAAATAATCTATAGTTTAGGCTCTGTTACATTTTTTAGAACTTGGATGATGGACGAACAATTGAACTCAGCAATGTTCATACTGTCTTTCTTGAGAAATGTGTATTTTTTTTTCTGTCCTTCTAAGGGAAAACAGTATATTGGCAAACACTTACTCACCAGTGAGAGGGATCAGATTCCTGACTAACAAGTACTTGAATGTGTACCCTGTTCCTGCCTCAGGGGGCCCCTCGGGAGACGCCATGAGAGGTGAGCCCCACCTGGCCCCTCAGGCCATGCTGATACTCGGGTCTGCAGTGGAGTGAGGCTGAAGAGTCCCCCATGAGCCCTCTGGCGTCATCTGCTTTCAGTACACAAACAGGGTGTTATCCTAGAGATAGGGCTCACCAGGTCGACCTTTACAGGTAAATGATAAGCACACTGGTGACTTTATTTATGTGACTCGGATTGAAAGGGAAGGGAAGTATTTGTAGTAATTCAGTACTAACTATGTCTCGAGCATCTAACACATTCGTTTATTGACTTCATGTCTTTGCTGAAATGTCTCCTTCTTGGGGACACTTTCTCAACCGCCCAGCTGGAGGTGCATTCTGCCCCCCGCGGCACACCGTGCTGGGGCTCCCCACCCGCCTTCTCTGCTGCATTCCCTGCTCAGCGCCTTCTCATAGGCTCTGCTTGCACAGCTTGTTTATGGCCTGACCTCTCCCACTAGAATATATCGACTCCGTGAAGACAGGAATGTTTTGCTTGGTTTGGTCATTCCTGTATTTCTAGTACCTAGTGCAATGACCGTCTCACAGGAGGTGCTTAAGAAAGATCCATGATGTGCATATTCATTATGAAACGTTGACCTGCCATGAGGCTTCTTTGTCATCTGTGCCATATAGTCCCGGCATGCCCATGCACTTGCCGAAATAAGACGGCAAAGAGCAGAGCCGGAGCGAGAGAACGCCAGCCCCAGTCTGTACTTGCTATTCCCGTAGGTCACTGGTCGGTGGCAAACCAGCGAGATGTTGGACTCCTGCCCTGCACGTCAGGCCCTGGATGGCGATGCCCCACCCATCTCCTCGGTGCCCTAGTCTGGGGTCACCCTTCTGCTGACGTCTCTAAGGGACTCTGCTCTTTTCCCTCAGCACCTCCCTTTGCCGGGTGTGGCCTTTCCCGCACTGTGCCTGCTTAACTCCCAGTTTGTCCCTTCGTTCTGGCTCAGACGTCCCTGCTTCACAGATGGGGACATGGGACAAACAAGGTGCAGTTCTTGTTCTTATGGAGCTCACAAATTAGTAGCAGAGTGGGTCACAACAGCAAAATAACGATTCCTCTAGTCATCTGAGTGCTGTTATGGCGATACCATGCATCTATGCAGATGTAGTGGAAGCCAAGGGCTCAAATGACCAGGGATATTGTTCAAGGTCAAAAGAGAAAGGGGGCCAAGAATAGAAGATAGCCCTTCTTGTTCATATAATCAAATCAGCCTCAGGTATTTTATTAGTCAGTTAAGACTTTTCTCCTGCCTTAGGGAAGAGGGAAGTGAGAATGGAAAAAAAGTAGTCAAGAGCCATGGCTAAGCTCCTTAAAGTAGCTGTGGCTGATGTCATACTGGATGATTAAATCTTCCCAGACTAAGAGGTCAGGACACATTCTGCATTCTTACTGTTTATATTCTGCAGAAACTCTGAAATCCTCTTTCCAGGGTAGTGGGGCCAGGCCTTTCTGTGCCCCAGCATCTCTTGGTGTTGCATCACCTAGACCAGTTGCTCTTGGGACAACACAGGTGTCCTAGAACCTGTGACTTGTGGCACGTTTGGACTGGAGGAGAGCTTAGAGATCATGGAGTCAAAACCCCCATTTTAATTTTAATTTATACATTTTCCCATTTAAAAAGCAGTATTAGTCCTTTACTAACCCAGCTAATAACTGTTCATTTTTTTCTTCAAGTCTTTTTCTTTGTATATTTTTCTGCAGTAATAATCATATTGTACATCAGATTTTGTCTCCTGCTTTTGTTGCTTAACATTGTGTCATATATACTTTAATTTTTTTACTGTGCAGCCCTCATCACCATTTCAATTATTTTAGGAGTTTATAAAACAATTTATAGAATAATTTTCTTAGCCATCCCACATTTAGTGTTTCTAGTTTTATGGGGACAGTGCTTTTATATACAATATGATAGGAAATATTTCCCCACATGTAGACTTTTCTATATTCTGGACTGTTCCTTGGGCTGGATATCTGAAGTCGGTGACGAATGGGTTTGAGGACATGAGGACATACAGAGCTCGTAAAGCATGTTGCCAAGTTGTTTTTGAAAGAGGATTGGAACAGTTGAAATCAGTTAAGTCTTTTGAATTTCACTCTCATCACCGAGGTCAGTAAACTGAAGGCTGAAGAAGTTAAAGGACCACCTGAAGTCGCAAGGTTTCTGTGCTAGTCTGACCTGTGACACAGAAATGCTGATGCGGTTGAGTTTAGATTTCATTAGGTTGCCTTTGCTTGTCCTTTTCCATAAATCTCTGTACACATTTGCTTTAATGCAGATATTCACCAATATTCCAGATACATTTGTATTTAAAGTAAAAATAAAATTCTTTACTTTTATTACTATTAATGCCCAGTAGGTATTCACAGTGCTGAGATGGCGCTGTTAACATTCATTATATACTTTTACATATTTTTCTGCCTTCTGGGTAGTGTAGAGAGTATAGATATGTAATGACGTAACCCAGTTCACCAATAGAAAATCGACCAAACTTTACTTGTAGGCGAATGGAGTTCTTTCTGACATTCTTCCTTGCTTCATAGGGACAGTCACAATTTTGATTATGATGGAAGAGAGAGAGAGAGAGAGAGAGAGAGAGAGAGAGAGAGAGCCACACACACACACACACACACACCCGAAAGGCACAGAGATCTGATGCTTCTCCAAAATCTCTATCTTTTAATGACACATGAACATGAATTTATAGTATGTGTATTGAATTAAACGTTGCTACGAAAAGTTCACTTTGTTTTTCCAACAGCATTTAAATGTAGCAGTAGTGTAAGTTTGTAACCTAAGGAAATGAAATAGAGAACAATTTCTTTTAAATACAGGAGTTCAGAGTTACAGAGTGGTGTCCACTGACAGATATTTGTGTTCCTTTTTATTAAAGGTCAGTCCAGCTCCACCTCAGAGAATGCTATCGGTGATACGTACAAGGCTCGAGCTCCCAGCACAGCTCTCTCTCTCAATTCCTTCCATGCCATCAGATACTATTCTAAAGTCATCCCTTCCTGTGATGCAGCTGCCATAACAAATCAGAACATTTCCGTTCATTTTCCGTCAGCTGTGCCCAAAGTCTCAACGTTTCTTCCTCAGCACTGCAATTCTGTGCTGGGCCAGACGTGCCCAACACATCCTAACTGTCTGGTAAGTAAGTCCTCTGGGGTCTTGGTGACATTGGATTCTGTCATTCCAGCTGCAAGGCTGCTGATTTCGCATTTTGCTGCTAATACTCTGCTCAGGAATCTCTAAGGCTGGGGCCAGATCTAGTTAGCCCAGACTCCCATTCCTCATGCGGCAGGACTGGCATCTGTGTATCCGGAATCAGTGAATCTGGATGTGGCTCTGCTGGTGCCACCCTACATGATCAGATAGAAGCTGATTTCCTCTGGACCCCCTCCCCGTGGCCCCTCTGCTTTTGAGACACTTATCCCATTTCCCAGCCTCACGCTCAGCTGGCCCTGTCAGTGGCCGCTGCTGCTCCATCTCCTCGCCTGGCAGTCCCGCCCTTTGGGGAGCGCCTGTTCTGCCGACACTGGCCAGGCTGATTGCAGGCCCGGGTGTCATCACATCACAGATAGTTACTGAGCACCCGCTATCTTCTGGCAGTTCGCCAGCCGCTAAGGATGTAGCGTGTACGTAAAGACAGACACAGTCACTGTCCTCACGAAGCTTTAATGCCATAGGGAAGCAGGCCTAAAGGCAAGCGATTGTGATACCCAGTGGAGCACTCCAGTGGGTGTGCTGTACCCCAGCTTTGGGAGAGGTCAGGGACAACTCACCCCAGCAAGAAATGCGGTCTAAGCTAGGGCTTGAAGAGTCAGAATTAGCCCGGTAGAGCGGGTAGGGATCGGAATGGGGGAGAGGAAGGCATTCCAGGCGTGTGGATCAGCATATGGAAATAGTGGTGTCTTCATTTTTTAGAATTGTCCAGTTCTAGAGGAAGTCCCAAACCAGACGGGTCTGCTTAAAATATACTTCTGATAACCTTAATATAGTTGCTGATACTTTTGCATATTAATAACAACTGACATGGTTTGAGCACTCAGTAAAGAACGTGCCTAACAATTATGTCCTTAATGTGGATGATCTGATGACTCTCAGGAATAATCGTTCGAGGTAGGTATTATTGTTATTTCCATATGACATCTATGAAATGGGAATAACAGTGACCTTGCCAAAAAAATTTATGAGAAAAATATTCTAGAGAAGTACAAAGAAGTTTTAACACATGAAGGATCTACGAATGCCCTGCTGTTGCTCACGGTCGTCAGGATGCTGCAGGAAAGCCAGAGAAATACAGTAAGTGAAGGTCAGCAATAAAAAGATGGCAACATCTTTTTATTGCTGACCTTCACTTACTGTATGTAGTTTTTGTTGTAAGGAAAAAAAAATGTCTTTTAATAATGGTAAATAATATGTATTTTAAAAGCTATAGGTTTACTCACCTGAATATTTCACATGGTTTTGCAAATCATTTTATATGGCTTTAGGACACAGGAAATATACTTATGACATTATGAGTAAGAACAGGCCAGGATTCAGTTGATGTGGTTTTTCTTCCCCTTTGCAGCAACAGTTTTGGGCATATTAATAGAACACGTTTGAAAGTCACACTCTAGACCACCTATTGGGCGCATTTTGACAATTTGGGAAATGGAACAAAGAACGATCTTGAAAGCTACATCCAGAGACCAACATCAAAAGAGTTTGCATCGCATGGCTTCTGATAAAAGTGCTAAAAGCTTCTGTGGGTAGAAAGACAGGCAGCAAAAGTGCTAGCCACGTGCCTTCACTTATCTTCACACTACTTGGATCTCCCCGACCCAGAGAGCTACAGAACAGACGGCCTTCGTGATCCAGACTTTTCTTTTTCTCAAAAAATATTCCACAATTTATAAGATTGGGGAGGTACACCGATACTCTGATGTCACTGACTACAGACCTTATAACTTGATTCTTATTTTGAGTATCACCGTGAGTTACTGTCACTTATTTCTAGGTGGTTTCTTTGGTAGACTTGACATTTTAGAGAGCTTCCTTCGTTATTCACCATTCAAACTAAGATACTTTAGTTTGAGAGAGGTGCTCACCTCCCCACATGACTACTAATGAATAAATTGACGTGTTTGGTTTTGTGTTTCATAATCCCTTGAGTAAAGTAATAGCTAATAGGTAAATTTTCTTTCTGGATCATTAGTTACAGACTAGCAGGCATTTGGTTTTCATCTCTTCCTTCCTATAGGTATTAGAAAAGGCTGTTGAAAATAAGGGGAGAAAAATATTTGTTTTATACTCCCTTGAAATGTTCTTATGCATAATACATTTTATTGTTAAATATTCAGTTTTGACCCTGAGTAACTCATTTTTGTTTTGTTTAATAAATATGTGTTCCCTCTTTTAGTAGTACTATGAAGAGAATTTAATTTTACTGGATTTTTGAAAAGTTTAAAAATTAGGTTAGGCATAGCCTAATTTTCATGTTAAATTGTATAACTTTCCTTGGAGGATGTCATGATGATGGAATCTGTAGATGTTTGTCAAACTTTATAAAGGAACTAGAAGTTTCTAAGATCCTATGCCTATTACTACAAATGCGTGCTGACTCTTCCTACTCTCGTTTTCAGGAGTAATTGCTTTGACATTGTAAAAGAACCCGTTGAGGTATTTTGGGCACTGAGACAACTTACTGCCCTCACAGCTGGTCTTTTTTGCTACTGGGACTTTTGCTTTGCATCAGGTTTCTCTAGATCTACACGTGGACCGGGAGAGACAGCTCGCGGCTGATGATTCAACAGCGGGCCTCTAGAGCGTGAACCATACATCCCGTCTACTTGCTAGTCTCGGTCCCTTTTTCTTTCGACATGAAGAGAAGGCCACCAGATCTATTGTTTAAGATCTGTTTTTTTTTTTCAAAGGTGGTTCCCATGAACTTCATGCAATGTCCAAATTCATTTTTCCTACTAAAATTTCATTTTTTAATAAATTATGCTCTTCCAAGTAAGTTCAACTCTCAGCCAAGGAGGGAAGGTTAGTTGGGCCCCAGGCTGCAGAAAAAGAGCAGGATTTTCCTTTATAAAATCAAGTCATCTGGTAATGAGACAGTTGTAGTGTTATTGTCACAATGAAAAAGGTCCAAGCAGTTTGCCTAGAAAGGTAACAGCTTGCAGGATTCACACGGGTGGTATAACAGTCCTTTCTGAACAGGGAGCAGGGGCCAAAACAAACATTTATTGAGCCCTTTTTGTGGCCCAGGAAAATTAGTAGACATTTCCTTGAGGAGAGGGACTTAGCTTTATTCATTTCTGTATTCCCAATTTCAGCTATCTTTCTGGTTGGATGGATGGACGTGCAGAGTCTCAGGTGGCTACCTGAGTGAATGGGGAGCCAAGAGGAAGGATGGGTCTGACCTTGGGTGACGGCTGAGGACAGAGAGCAGGGGACATAGTTAAGCACTTAGGGACTTATTTGGAGTCAAGAGAGAGGGAAGGGTGAAAGTTAATATTTGACCATCATTATAATTTTTATCAATGTGTGTCAATCTTTTTATACCTATTTCTTGCCCCTCACCATGCTTTTCTAATATATGAGTTGGATGGTCCTCAGCACGGCAGACATGACAGTGATTGGTAGTGTTTATAAAGAAAATGTGTGTTCAATGGAGAACACTCAGATGTGGACCAACTCAAATATCATTTATTATATTAATCTGTTCAGTGATTATTTGACCAGCATTGTCCTGAATGCTGGGAATACAACTATAAGGCGTAGTCTTTTTTACTTTCTATACGTAGGAGCTTAGAGTCTACTGGAAGAGATGAGTGAAACAGAATTGCAGTAGAGTTTGTTGAGAGCTACGAAAGGGGAGAATATGAAGTACTACTACAGTTCTTAAAAGCACCATCCGCCCCATTCTGGAGATTCACACGAAGCTTTTGGGGATTAGTGACATAGCTGTCCTCATCCCTAAAACTGGTCATAACAGTACTTTCCTCTTAAGGTGGTTGTAAAGATTCAGTGAGATAATATGTGTAAAAGTCCTTAGAACAGAGCCCAGCACGTAGTAATTGTTATAATACATATTAGTTATAATTATGTGATGATGGTAATAACGATTAAGCTGAGATTTTAAGGACCAGTAGGCATAGCTAAGCCAAGTGGTAGAAATTTGGGGACTGGTCCGGGAGATGAGTTTTTAGGCAGAAAGAACTGCACTTGCAAAGATACCAAGGACAGGACAGAATAAAACATTTGAAGAAGTGAAGGTAACTCCACACGGCTGTGTACAGAGTTTAGGTGTGGGATGGGGAAGAATGAAGCGAGAAGATAGGCAGGAGCAGAGAGAAACAGGCAAAAGCCACGTGATATGGCCCTATTTGAACTTTTAATGGTGCCTCATTGCTCTCATGATATCGACTTGGTCAGATCTGTATTTCAGGATGACCACTGTGGCTTCGGTGAATTTAAAGGCAGAATGAATTGAAGGGGGCTAAAACCAGCTGGGGGGAGGGGCGGCCATTCTAGGAATTCAGGCAAGAGCTGGCCCAAAATAAGTTATTGGCAGTGAGGATGAAGAGAAGTAGAAAAATTTAATCAATGTTAAGGGGGCAGAATTAGCAAGACTTGGTGGATCCAACAGAGGGCTGTGAGGAAGTAAGGATGACACCCGGGTGTCTGGCTTCGGAGGCTGGACGGATAGTATCGATGTTCACCGAGAGAACAAAGAAAAGAACATTTGAATGGATGGTGTTGGATGACAGTTATATTTGGGGACCTGCTGCATTTGGGCATGCTACCTCCATCCTAGTGGAGGTAGCCAAAATACATTCAGACTTGAGCGGCACAGGCAGGAGATCTGGAGGAGAGACGACATGGATTGGGGAGTCATCACCTTGGGGTGGGTGGAATTTTAAAGTGGGGCATTCGGACATAAATGGACTTCTAAGCCTGTAATTCCACTGTAATTCATCATAAGTCACTTGGTCAGACCCCCAGTCTCATATGACGTTACCAATTAGTTACCAGGGATTTGCGGTGCGTAAGTGAACCCCTCAAGGCAGAGGGCACAGCTTGCCCTTGGCCACTGTGTTTGTTTATTGTTTTTTTTGTTTGTTTTTTTGCTTTTTTGAATTGTGAGAAATTGAATTTCTGTGGATTTCTAGCTTAAGAAAAATTCAAAACTTAGACAATACTGGATCTATTTCTAGTACAGCAAAATGGTAACAAACTCAAGTAGTGCCTATCTCTTTATACGGGACATTAGTTTCCCTCCGATCAGTCCCACCCAGCTTGCCTCATTCATGGACATGACTTGCCTGGGCCCCATAGGTATTCTAGTGACTCCTATACAGGAGAGTCACATGGGGGTGGGCAGTAGCATGCTGAAATGCAGATTCCCAGGTCATATGCCACAGGATCGTTGGCTGGGCTTGTGCCAGGGAACCCGCACTTTAACAGATGCGGCCAGGTGTGCTGCAAGTTATCTGATTTTCCTACTTAAAAACACCCAGTGCACATAAGTGGATGCAGATTCCCGTGAGGGACACAAAACAGAACAGGCACAAACTGCAACCGCGGTCGTCGGCTCCCCAACCCGGCATCAGGAGTGATTTATGCCAACCGTGCATATCAGGACCCTATCCCAGAGATTCTGATTTCATAGTCCTGGAAAGGGGCCTAGTGCTGCGCTCAGAATGAGTCTGATGTGCAGCCAGGTTCAGAAACCACTGGTCATTCATAACATGCTAATCGCGTGCATGGCAAGGGCTGACAGCAAGAGGTGAGGCACCGGGAGCACAGTCCTAAATCGCCACCGCTCGGCATGGAGGGAAAAATTCCATCCACGCTGGCTGATGGAGGCAGGTTTTGCCGAGGAGGTGAGTCGCAGAAACTGCTTTGGTAAGTTACAGAGATGATTAGGTAAAAACGTCTGTGTGCAGAGTGTAGTTGCAGGAAAATGTAAAAGTGGGAACAGACCCAGGGAGTTTGGAGAAAGAGTGACTAAGATGAGTGAAAACCAAGAAAGAGGCAGTGGAAACGGCTTCCATGAGGGAAGGTGCTTTCTCATTTTTGTTAAATCTTTCATGTTTTATAAAATTACTCTCAAAGGATTATTAAAAGCAAAATGTCACTTTTGCAAAATAATATCAGAAAAATATGCCATTTCTCTGAATACTTGTCATTGATATTTCATAAAATTTTGAAACGGGAACCCGAGCCTCCTGCCGTCTGTCTCATTATCGGGCAGGCTGCTGGTTTCCCCTCTCCCTCCGCCTGTCTCCCTGGTACATGGAATGAGGAAGCAGGAAGCCCACGGAGCACCCTGGTTAACTGGCTGCATCAAAAGCTGGTTTTATCCCAATGGAAACACGACACTTCTATGGAAAAGAGAGAAGTCTCTTATCAGTGTACTTTTCAAGGTCGTTTTACATCCAAGAATAATGTTCTTTCTGAAAACAAAAAGCAGGAAGACACACAATTACATTACATACTAAGTTGTATGCTGTTGAATTTTACTCATCAGACTCTAGTAAAAATATTCTTCAGTTATGCTCAAAGCAAAGATTTCAAAAAGTTACATTATAATCTAGGTGGGCTTGGGCACTGCTGGGAGAGACTTTGGGGAAATAGATTTCTCAAATGTGCAGATAAACTTGTTCTGAAAAGTGGTCTGCCAGACTGTGTATCCCAAGAAGTCTTTGCTAAGAAATATTCCTTGCCACTTATTCCTTTCCCAAAATTGTCAGTGCTCTATGAGAGTGTCGGGAATGGTATATTTTCTGAAACACTGAATTCCTCCTTTCATCCTGTCTCAGGCTATGTTCTGTGTCCTTCAAGTAATAACCAAATTTTAAAAATTCTGTGGCGTAGGACTTAAGCGATTTCGTGCCCATCTCACACCCTAGTAGTAGGTGTCAATATTGCAAACACTAGGAAAACTTGCAGGTTATTTTCACTGTAGACCTAAAGTTGATCTCAGGTTTGAACTAGAAACTATTGGAAAGGAGAAAATACTTTCCATTGCCATGTATATGTCAGGGTAGGTGCACAGAAACAAGAATAACACGGATTTTTTTCCTCTTGCTGCTTTGGACTAATCCTGGCTCTCTCATGCTGTGGTATTCTAATACTCCTGAACCTACGGTTTAGAAAGCATTAGGTATGGATGAAAACCCGTAGGTTCACTTCCCCGTGGATAATACTTGTTTAATAGTTTTAGATTTTATTATCAAAAAGAAAGAATGGTTTAAGCACTGATTTTGATCTCTTAATGGAACACGATAATTGAACTACCTTTTATGACATTTAACTGGTAAAATACTGATTTTAAATATTTGCTAAAGGAGACTTTTAAAGATTTTAAATATTTGCTAAAAGTCCAGACTTTTTTTCTTCAGTGTAACAAGAAGTTCAACTTTTTTATAAGGTTAATGAATCAAGACCTGAACAAAAATGCACTTAAGCCTTTAATAGTCAAGGGAAGCTGAGGTATCAGTTATTTATTTTTCTTCAGAAACGAAAAATAGTTTGGAGAAATTTGACTATGAACATAGTGTCTCGGCATAAGAAGAGTT